CGGAGGTATGCACTCTCTTTGAGTGCCCTCTGTCTAGTTTTAAATTGTGGCCTGACGTATCTTACCGTAGATCTGCACATCGAACAGCTTCGTAGCCTTGCCCGCGATGTTGGTCACCTCACACGTGTAGTCGGACGTATCAGATAGCCTCACGCCACTGACCCTCAGCATTTGCCGGTCGTAGTCCAGCTGAAGCCGCTCGCTGGCCACCAGCGGCTGACCGGCGCGGTACCACGTGATGTCCGGCATCGGGTGACCGACGGCCGGACAGTCGATCGTCATCGTTTCGTTAACGATGGCGACGATGGTGTTGCCGGCACCGGGCCGTGAGTCTGGGATGCGAGGCGGTACTGTAACAACCAGCACCGAGTATTAATCCAGCAGATTAATGAAGTAATCTTTCAAATAGTGATCGAGACAAGCACCAAAATTCTCATGGACACTCATATGGAACGTTTTTTAAGATGGCCACCATTATTCAAGATGGCCACCATTTCTGGTACAAAAATACAATTTACGCCGGGCCGTGAGTCTGGGATGCGGGGCGGTACTGTAACGTTAGCAACGATTACATTAAGTCCCTGAATGCAGACTATATAGATACCGATCGATGAACGGGCCTAATTTCACGATATATTATGATTACAGGTTATGTAATCATTTTTACACATCTTACATCAACTCCACGAATGCGTCGCGCAGACGTGTTAAACACAATCCACCAATAATTAATTAATTAATAATTAATAATTAATACGCAATTAATATGATACCTGATGAATAATGATTAATAACTGATTAAGAAATTAACCAATATATATCTTTTGCTATTCATATTATCAGGAGTAGATGAAGATCTTCATCTACTCCTGATATTATCTATCGATTATTCGATTATTATCAATTTAATCGATTAATGATAGAATATCAAAATCGCAATATGGTTAATCTCGCAAAATTATTATGTTTTTAATATGTATTCTAAAAAACTAGCAGTGACATTATGAATTCCATGTACGCGGGATAGCTGAGCTAGTTTATGACAGATATTATATAATAAGATTTTATATAAGATTATAAAGGAGATATTATGCGATATTAAGGTTGTGCTCGTTCGCTCACCAAGCACGACCAGATCGAAGTCTTTCTCCGTGCTGCCGGCCACGTTCGTCGCCGTGCACGTGTAGCGCGCCGAGTCCGCCACCCTCACGCGCACGATCCGCAGCCTCCCGCCGCCATCCTCCACGACGACGTTGTCCGACCGCCGCAAGGGGGCGCCGTTGAGCGACCACGCGATGACGGGCGGCGGCGAGGCCGTGATTGGACAGCGGATGGTCGCCGTGTCGTTGACGAGTATCTGCAGGGTTTCGGCGGCCTCCGGTCCCTCGACGCGCGGCGGCACTGCAACACGGACGCCGTGACGTCATCGATGTGTGGTGACAGTGACGTCATCATCGTACGGTGACAGTGACGTCATCATTGTATGGTGGCAGTGACGTCATCAATGTATGGTGG